AAGTGTTTTAATATGAATTATTATCATTTTTCTAGTGTATTACTAGTCATTTGAAATTCAAATCAGTAACGATGGGCAAAATCCGTAAAACCTTTATTTAATTCTTCCATAGATACAAAGATTTGGTTTGCAAGTTTGGCTGCACTTGTAGAAATCTTATTTCAAACGGAAAAGCACATCATAATTTTTACAGTGATGTTGTTTACCGAGCCCAGAAATTTAAATACGATCCAGGTAAACTTATCAATCCTAATTTTAACTTATTCTCAAAGGCTACCAATTCAACACTGTAATTAGATCTTTGTATATTGTTTTAATTGGTATAAATATTCATTTTGTTATCAGTAAATTAAAACCATCCTAAATATTATTGTTATACACAGATGTGACCAGCCATGAGATTTTCAGGCAAATGGAGGTACCAGGGTCAAAATTTTCACATGTATGTTCATCTATCATAATTTTTTTCTTTATGGAAAAGGGGGGGTGGGGGGGTTGGAGGAGATGGGGTTCAAGTCTTCTTAATTAATCAAAATGTAGTTATAGCTTTAATAACTAAATAACTGTAGAATTTTAATTCGGTTGCCATAGCAACAATGTACCGGAATCTGCAATCAAAATAACAATGACTTAACCTTTTTTCTTTCTTTCGTAAGGAAAACAACATCAATGCTAAAAAAGAGTGAATAGCAAGATATAAAATAAACCATCAAGGAGCTATGTATTATTAAATATGCTTTCTTATGTTCATCTATTATCTTTTTGGTGATACATTTTGTACATGTATCCTGTCAAAGTGATTAAATCAAAGATCTGTTAATGCAGAGTAAGATGAAAAATCAAACAGCATGATCAATAAAATTAGGGCATGTAGGTGAAAGGGATGTTAGAAAACTTTCAACAACACATATATCTTGTTTATGTAGTTCTAAGACAGTCGTATATAAAAAAAAAACTAGGCATAAACATTGGATGGGACACTATTTGGACACTAAATCTATTGGATGTTGGATGTGCATGCACTGATTGATATTTTAGTCTTAGATACATGATTTGTTTTATTGGCTATTAGTTTTTATTGGCTTTGAACTAGCTGTCAGTAAACTGCAAGAATTCAGGTCTGTACTTTGTGGCTTTTTTTGTTGTAAATACCCTGCCTGGTCCTGTCTATGGCCAACTATACGGTATTGGTTTTTCTCATTGTTGAAGGTCATACGGTTGCTTATAATTGCCTACATACACTTCATTTGAACTTTGGTGGATAGTTGCCTTATTTGCAATCATACCACATCTCCTTATTTTTATAAAAAACAATTTTATAAAAAAAGACTTTATCCTTACCTTTTTTTTTTTAATCTATGAATTTCCCTATATTATGTACAAATTTGAAGCATTTCCTATACACTACATTTCATTGAGACTCTAATGCTCCTACTCCTTTGGTTGTCATTACATGTACATAGGCATAGGAGCTGGGGGAAAAGGGGGGGGGGGGGAATTAGACTATTAGATTATAGAAAAGATTTTTTTTTTTTTGCTTATCTCTTTCAAAAGTTTGCCCCCATTTTTCAGTTCAGACCACTCCTATTCCAATAATGTAAGGCTTCACAATAGATGTGCAATTAGCAGCAACAGTTGCACAATAAATTATGCACTCTATTGAGATGCTGGCTTGTTCACAGTGAATAACATTTTGAACAGACAATTATAACATTTTTCACCTAATGACATCAGATTGCTGATTAGGAAGAAAATGGCACCAGGAAAAGAAAACAAATTCCTATTTATATACTTTATCAATAACAAACTTATAGTTCACTTGAAATATATGTTCTACTAATCAACATCAGTAACAGTATGATTATGCTATCTTTTTTGAAGAGCATTAATCTTAGATTAATTATAAAAGTTATAATTATATTGCCACTAATAATGTCATTCGTTATAATCTGCTGATCTCTGATTGCTCCATTGGAAGTAGGAGAGAATTGGGCAGGATACAGCTTGAATATATATATGAGTTATACTTCCATTTTCTACTGCTTTTCAGTATACTATATTGAATATAATATTGGTTACTTATTTGAATTTGTATTTGTATTGCAAAACAAGAATCTGTATACGATATGACTAGACTGTAGGCTCAGGAAGATTAACAGAAACAAGAATCTGTATACATAATATGACTAGATTGTAGACTCAAAGATTAACAGAAACAAGAATCTGTATACTATAAGACTAGTTTGTAGACTCAGGAAGATTAACAGCAACAACCCAAGATCTGCCATCAAAATCAAATTCTCCAAAGAAATAAAAGAAGAATGTGTCTGAGGATGCGAATGCCCCTGCTCAAGCTTTGCAATTTTCCAATTTAAAAAGGGGCATAACTCTAGAATGGTTAATGACTTACAATCCAAATTCGATCTCTGTCTGTGTGTTTTGGTTCTTAGCATTGTATATGTGTTAGTGTGTGGAAATGAAAAAATTTGCAATTTTCCAAGTTATAAAGGGGCATAACTCTAGAACAGTAAGTGACTCACTGCCCAAATTCAAACTCTGTCTGCTAGTTTTAATTCTTAGCATTGTGTATGAGTTTCATAAAATTTGGATTAGCCAAATTTAAGTTTGAGTGCAGAAATGAAAATGGGACTACAGAAGGACGGTCAAGGGTAACACTTAATGTCCCCGTTACCTAAGGCGGGGACATAAAAAATCAATTGAAACATTATGTCATAAGACAACCATTGAAAAGGTTCTGAACTTGGGACAGGCACATCGGATGAATCTGCAGCCAGTATAAACTTGTAGATCTTAATCCTCCATCTTTTAATCTTGATCACGACTTGGGACAGACACATGATTCTGCAGCCAGTGTAAACTTGTAGATCTTAATCCTCCATCTTTTAATCTCGATAATGACTTGGGACGGGCACATGAATCTGCAGCCAGTGTAAACTTGTAGATCTTAATCCTCCATCTTTTAATCTTGATCACGACATGGGACAGGCACATCGGATGAATCTGCAGCCAGTATGAACTTGTAGATCTTAATCCTCTATCTTTTAATCTTGATCACGACTTGGGACAGGCACATCGGATGAATCTGCAGCCAGTATAAACTTGTAGATCTTAATCCTCCATCTTTTAATCTCGATAATGACTTGTGACGGACACATGAATCTGCAGCCAGTGTAAACTTGTAGATCTTAATCCTTCATCTTTTTATCTTGATCATGACATGGGACGGGCATATGAATCTGAAGCCAGTATAAACTTGTAGACCTTAATCCACGATCTTTTAATCTTGATCATGACTTAGGACGAGCACGATGAATCTGCAGCCAGTATAAACTTGTAGATCTTAATCCTCCATCTTTTAATCTTGATCATGACATGGGACGGGCATATGAATCTGCAGCCAGTATAAACTTGTAGACCTTAATCCTCGATCTTTTAATCTTGATCATGACTTGGGACGAGCACGATGAATCTGCAGCCAGTATAAACTTGTAGATCTTAATCCTCCATCTTTTAATCTTGATCATGACTTGGGACAGGCACATGAAACTGTAGCCAGTATAAACTTGTAGATCTTAATCCTCCATCTTTTAATCTTGAACATGACTTGGGACGGGCACATGAATCTGTAGCCAGTATAAACTTGTAGATCTTAATCCTCCATCTTTTAATCTCAATCAATAAACTAACAAAAGGTACATATAAGAACATACGATAAAAATCAGTATATGAAAAACACTTATAAAACTCTACAATAAGACTATAATGAAAGGTAACAAAATAAACAAAATAAACAAAATTAATTTCAGCAAGAAATAATAAGTACCCAAATTCAATGAAGTTGCACACATTGTTGTGCTTAGCATACCCAAATAATCCAAGGTTTCGGAAATCAGGAAGTAAGATTCAGATTTAAAAAGTGCTCACAAGTTACATCTCATTACTGTCAAGCTTTCCACTATTTATGAAGTCATTCTGTTCAGTTGTTATGGAGAACTTTTTGATGGAAATATTAAGTGCATTCAACCTTTTGAGAAAAATCGAAGAATCATCAAAAAAACGGTTATATGTCTGACAGATCTGATATGTTACAACTCAACCCTGTCAAACTCCTGACCAAATATGAAATGATTTTGTTAAATGGTCTCTTTGAAAAGTGTGATGAAAATTTTTACTGGTAGAACAGACTGATTGATGGACAAGGCGAATGCAAAATACTGTGGATTCATTTTTCGTGGTTTCGAGGAAAACTTGCATATTTGTGGATATTTAATTTCGTGGTTTTGGCAAAGTCTGCATACATTCCTTTAGAAAATATGTAATTCGTTGAACATTTAAATTCGTGGTTCTACTGTTCCCACGAAATCCACGAAAATTGGTATCCAACGAATATTAATGAATCTACAGTAGCCAAACTCCTTGAGTGGGGATATAATACCCCTTTTTGGTGTTAAAGTATTGCTTTGTCATAAACTGATATAATGAATGGATAAAATGTTCCCTGGAATATATCATTAGTATCAATATTAATTTCTTTCTTTGCATTTTTTAATCTTCATAGCCTCTGATCATGGAAGTAACATAGACAATATCATACTTCCATGCTCTGATCATCTTGATCAAATAAATAATGGGTTTCTTTGTTCTACATTCTGCATAATCAAATGGGAATAAATGCACAATATCAAAGTTACATATGTAATTATTCTGTTGAGAAATGTACATCTAAAATAACATCAAAGAAGTCACAAATAATGATGGCAGCCACCATAGCAGACCACCAACTGTTTATTACCAATTAAACAAATTAATAGACATTTAATTGTTGATAAGATAATAAAATTCCCCATATCTGTCTTCTTTGGTTATAATACAAGAGAGCAAGGAGGCATAAACCAGACCAGATAAGATATATGTACCAGTTTTTTGCAGGCAGGAACCAGAAAGCTTACAAATTTGATAAGTTATAAAATGTTCCTTACCTGTTTTTATTCTTCTAAAAAGTTGACAGACTTTATCTTTGCTAGGGTCATTCACTAATATGGCATCAACATTTTCAGAAAATAAACTGACAAATAGACTTCACTGCAATCTAGCTGGAAATACTTTCCTGTAAAATGATTACTAATAGTTAGTATTTATCCTTTTCAAGTTTTACTTTAAAATAGCAAAGCATTTAAAGAGAAGACAAAAGTTCTTTGATTTCTGACATCAAATCAAGTTACAAAAATAACCTAAAACAACAAGTTCTATTGAATATATTTTAGCAGAACTTAAATCTCCATACAGCTTCCAAGAATGTCAGACAGTTCAGTAGATAATATTACTGTGTTATTAAAATCAAAGGTGTACCAGGAAACCTAAGAGATTCACTGAATCAACATAAAAAGAGACAAAAGATGCAGTACAACTGGATCAAAAGAGTTAATGAGGGATTTACTTCCAGAATAATCTACACACATGACTGTAATGAACTATTTTAATTTGTATTTTACTTGAATGCTTTGCCAACAGCATGAACAAAGAATTTAAGACAGAATATTTTTGCATCATTATTGGTAACTTAAAACTTTTTCTGCTTTTGTTTAGAAATATAATGACAGAACAAGTAATATTTGCAACCAATTTTCAAAAGCTATTGTCTATAAAATCAATCACACCCTTTCTTTTTATTTTCTGGAAATATTTCAAGGAAAACCTCTATTTCTAGGAGTCACTGTCAAATTTTCTAGATAAACATTTGAGATCTAAATTCTGCTTATTGCAATTTAAATAAATTTTGATATTTTTTTAGTTCATTTCAAAAATCAACTAATATATCACAGATTGATAAGGATCTGATAAATGGAAACAGAAACTTTTCCCAAAAAATTCAATCTATTCAGGGATCTGTGACCTTGACCTTTGACATACTGACATAGTTCTATGAAAATTGGGTCATCTACAATGCAATGTGAACCAATTCACGTTTCCTAATATTTGATTAATTCAGATTTTATAAGGTTGCAAAAATGTTCTTTAAAACTAGATTAAGGCCAGAATAAAAAATAAAGATGATGTCATATTTTTCTTGTTTTCTCTGTAACTACCTTGCATTAATTTTATTGGTTTTTTCTTTCTTTCTTTTTTTTTTACTTGTTACCCCATTCTATTTTTTTTTCTTTATCATTCAACACAATACAAATTCAAGTTCAAAGGGAAGTAACTCTGGCTTTCTTGTACTATAGCAGTCTACAGTTGATTTTTAAAGAAAACAAATATATTAATTACATTTCTGGTTTCTTGGAAGTGGAAGCTAATTTTGTCTATGTAATACAAAGTAAATTTGTTGTGAAGAAGGTCTTCACTGCACATTAAGAACAGCTATTACTGAAATTATTTTTAAGCATATTTTGTTAAGTATAATGATAACAGATGCTCCTTAACATTAGTACAAAGTAGTTTATTATTAACATAATACATCTCCTGATTACAGAAAAGAAATTAAAACATTGTTTGATGGTAACATATGATCTTTTTATTGGTACAATTACATTACAGTATTATCTGTTCTCATTTCTGGTGCCACTTTTTAAAGAAATTGCATCATGCAGGTACAAAAGATAAAATTCTAAAAATCTAAATTAAAAAGAAAAAAAAACCATCAGAATACCAAGACCTTGTTCATAGGAAACAAACATGATGAGAAGATATCATCGCTGCTTGGAAAAAAATGAAATCTGTTTACTAAGCCAAGGAATTACAATGCTTTTTTTTTGGGGGGGGGGGGGGGGGGGGGTCCCTTGAATTAAATAAACTGTTGACAATGAGAGATGTCTCTCCTGTATATAATTTTGATAGTTAAATGCAAATGTATGTGGATGTCAAAATGACAATACTTTAACATGTAAACTAGGCAAACTTTCCAAAGTCATTAAACCATGGTTGGGCCATATAATCTCCATGGAAAAGAGAAGTGCTAATGCTAATACACAACTACATACAAAATATCATTGACTTACAATAGTGGTTTCCTTTAAACTGACCTAATCACAAACTTTAACATGTAATAGACCATATCTCAGGGCAGACCTGCAACTTATTATGGGGGATAACCCCATGAGAGTTGTTGACCTGACCCTTATAAAACTCAATTATTTAGACTAAAGACTTAAAACTAGAGGCTCTCAAGAGCCTGTGTCGCTCACCTGACTCTACTTTGGTTTTAGAAATCATGTAAAGATAGATAAAAATCATAACAGGTACCCAAATAATGATTGAGGCCAAATTTGGATTAATATTGGTCCCGTTATTTAATAAAATATCCTGGTGGCCATCTTGAACAGTAAATCGGCAACAAAGTAGCCACACTTGGTCAGCACTTCATAAGGAACATTCATGCCATGTTTGGTTTCATTCCATTCAGTGGTACTCTAAAAGAAGACATTTGTATGTATTTCCCATAGGGTCCTATGTTAAACTAAACCCCCCCCCCCCCCTAGCGGCCATCTTGGATGATGGATCGACTGCAAAGTAACAACACTTGGTCAGCACCTCATAAGGAACATTCATGCCATGTTTGGTTCCATTCCATTCACTGGTTCTCTAAAAGAAGACAATTGTATGTATTTCCCATAGGGTCCTATGTTAAACTAAGTCCCCTGCTAGCGGCCATCTTGGATGATGGATCGGCTGCAAAGAAACAACACTTGGTCAACACCTCATAAGGAACATTCATGCCATGTTTGGTTCCATTCCATTCAGAGGTTCTCTAAAAGAAGACATTTTGTATGTATTTCCCGTAGGGTCCTATGTTAAACTAAGTCCCCCGCTGGCGGCCATCTTGGATTATGGACCGACTGCAAAGTAACAACACTTGGTCAGCACCTTATAAGGAACATTCATGCCATGTTTGGTTTCATTCCATTCACTGGTTCTCTAAGAGAAGACATTTGTATGTATTTCCCATAGGGTCCAATGTTAAACTAAGTCCCCCGCTGTCGGCCATTTTGGATGATGGACCGACTGCAAAGTTACAACCCTTGGTCAGCACCTTATAAGGAACATTCATGCCATGTTTTGTTTCATTCCATTCAGTGGTTCTCTAAAAGAAGACATTTGTATGTATTTCCTATAGGGTCCTATGTTAAACTAAGTCCCCCGCTGGCGGCCATCTTGGATGATGGACCGACTGCAAAGTAACAACACTTGGTCAACATCTCATAAGGAACATTCATGCAATGTTTGGTTCCATTCCATTTATTCGTTCTCTAAAAGAAGTCATTTTTATGTATTTCCCATAGGGTCCTATGTTAAACTAAGTCCCCCGCTGGCGGCCATCTTGGATGATGGATCGGCTACAAAGTAACAACACTTGGTCAGCACCTCATAAGTAACATGCATGCCATGTTTGGTTTCATTCCATTCAGTGGTTCTCTAGAAGAAGTTCAAAATGTAAAAAGTTAACGCCGACGACGGACGACGACGGACGACGCCGGACGACGGACGACGGACGCCAAGTGATGAGAAAAGCTCACTTGGCCCTTCGGGCCAGGTGAGCTAAAAAAGGCATTCGGAGGAGTAAAACATGCATTTAAACCCATGTATACTCATTCAAAACCCTAGCTGTTCTGATAAAGTAAACTTATGTCATGTAAAGGTATGAATTAGGTCATCTTGTGCCTAAAATCCCCCATGGATTTTGAAAAGTTGGCAGATATTGAGAGGGCAGGCCAAATAATTTTCATTGATATGAGATGTGATAATGCTGATACAGCTACACATTAAATATCATAGACCTACACTTAAATGGTTCCCCTTTAACTGACCAAATCAGATATTTTAAACAAAAGTTAATAGACCATGACTGAGTGGGTGGGGCAAAATAGTCTCCATTGAAATGAGATGTGTCAATGCTTATAGAACTGCATACCAACTATAATATTATTGACTTACCATAAGTGGTTTCCCTTTAACTAACCTAATCACAACTATAACAAATTGTTAATGTTGACACCATGGCCAACACTGCCGGAGGCTGCATGCCTATGTCTCGCTTTTGTGATTTTGTCAAGGGGAGACAAAATTCAATAAAATGCTTCGCTGAGCGCAGCCTGATACGACCGCAGAGGTCGAACCCTGAACAGTTGGGGCAAGTTTGGACACAATACTCAAGCTTGATACTGTCTGAATTTGGATTGTGCAATACTGTGTTGTTACGCAATACTGTGCTATTGCTCAATATTGTGCAATTGAAAACTTTTTGCTATTGCGCTATACTGTGCAATTGAAGATTTCTTGCTATTGCCCAATACTGTGCAATTGAAGATTTCTTGCTATTGCGCAATACTGTGCAATTGAAGATTTCTTGCTATTGTAAAATACTGTGCAATTGAAGATTTCTACTATTGCGCAATACTGTGCAATTATTTGAAATTTCAAAAATTTAGGAAAAAATATGAACCCCCCAAAAAAATTGGAAAAAAAAAATCCCCCCAAACTTTTTGAACCCTCTCTTGGAATAATTACCCCCTATCTCAATTCCAGCCTTCCTTTTATGGTATGGAACCTTGTAGTACAATTTTAGAGAGATCCATACACTTAAACACAAGTTATTGTCTGGAAACTAGAAAAATGGTTGTTTTTGGCCCCTTTTTTCCCCCTTATTCCTGTACGCTTGGGGCAATTGCCTCCAAACTCAATCGAGCCTTCCCTTTGTGATATGGCACCTTGTGGTACAATTTCAGAGAGATCCATACACTTACACACCAGTTATTGTCCCGAAACTACAAAAATGTTTGTTTTTGGCCCTTTTTTGGCCCCTAATTCCTATACTGTTGGTACCATAACCCCCAAAATCAATCCCAACCTTCTTTTTGTGGTATTGAACCTTCTGATAAAATTTCTAAGAGATGCATTCACTTAAACTTAAGTTATTTCCAGAACCAAATGTGTCTTCGGACGATGACACCGACGACATCATAGCATTATACAACAAATTTTTTGCGGTCATATAAAAACTATTATAACATCAATTTCAACATGTTTTTCACATCATGGTGACATCACAACTGACTTTTCTGAACTGAATTGTTTGGATTATATCACCCTATTAATTAATTATTAAAACATAATTTAGAAAGGATAGAAAATAACTATTTTTACAATCTCA